AGTAGATGCAGTAATGTGAAACACATATCCAATTTCAAAGATTTGGTGTGCAAAAAAAGAATGCAAATATTTTGATATTGATTACATGTTAAAATGATATTATTTGGGGTACACTGAGTTAAATAAAACATGTTATACCAAAAGATGTCACCTCTTTCTTCTTACTTTTTTAATGTGGTTACTAGAAAGTTTAAAATTACTGTGAAACCTGAGTTATATTTCTGTTGGACAGTGATATTCTAGAAGGATGTATTGTGGCCAAAGGTAAAATCTGGGCAGTGTATGATTCTGAAAAGGCTAATCATGGTGGATGCTGTCTTGGTGAGACACGGACTGAAGACACAAGAAAGAATGAGCCAAGTGTTATTAAACCCACAAATTACAAAAATTCTGATGGCTCATGTGGGAACACAAGTATAGTCAGGAGGAATCTGGAAGATATTGCTGAGGAATCCAAAATAAATAGACTGAAAACTAAACGAAGTAGAGGGCACACAGAATAATTTTGTTTCTTCTCTCACCAGAAGCACAAGTATTTGAAGGAGAATGAAGTTTATAAAATGCTTGTTAGAACTGAAGTCCAATCTACCTCCAGCACCTTCCCTCCAGTAGCCACTGACTGTTTCACACAAGAGTCTCTATGTAGTATAATGCTCTATTTAGCTGACAAAGCTTCTTAGTACACTCAGCCACAGTATTTAACACTGATAATCCAGTTATCTTATTTACCTCCAGAAAATGTTCAGAAAATAATTTATAATCTCTAGGCCCCCTCAAATTATAAACCAGAAAATTATAAACCTATCAGTGCTCAACTGCAAGTGCCCCAAGGAGCAACGAATTCTCAGTACCCAGCCCCTTACTGGTTGGTTACACAGTAAGTACCCAAAAAATACTCACTAAACACATTTTTTAAGATGGTGGTATACTGAAGGTAAAAGTCGACACTTAAAACAATACAGAAAAGGCAAAGACTGGAAATTTTAGGCTGATAAGTTCACGGTTGCAGATAGATAATCAGATGGGGGTGAGTGCCTAGAAATGAAGAACCAGAAGCCAATAAAGGTCTCCTAAAATCAAGTCATGCCGGTGGGCCTCATATTTTTTTTCACCCTGCTTCTACATGTGCAGAGGATACCGTAAACAAGAGAGTAAATTCTGACTTTCACAAGAGTAAATTTCGACTTTCACAAGACCTTTGACAAAGTCTTTGATTACACCTTAAAAAAATGTGGGGACATATAATGTACTATTTGTTTCAGAGGTACAGGTCTGTGATTCATCAGTCTTACACAATTCACAGCGCTCACCATAGCACATACCCTCCCCAATGTCCATCACCCAGCCACCCCATCCCTCCCACCCCCCACCACTCTAGCAACCCTCAGTTGGCTTCCTGAGGGGGGAAAAAAAAGATAGTAGGAAGGCAAAAATGAAGTGGGGGGGATCGGAGGGGGAGACGAACCATGAGAGACTATGGACTCTGAGAAACAAACTGAGGGTTCTAGAGGGGAGGAAGGTAGGGGGATGGGTTAGCCTGGTGATGAGGGCACGTATGGCACAGAGCACTGGGTGTTATACGCAAACAATGAATCATGGAACACTACATCAAAAACTAATGATGTGATGTATGGTGATTAACATAACATAATAAAATAAAATAAAAAAACAAAGAAAAACAATATGGGACTTGGAATCAGGAATGGTAACAAGTCCAGGGAATAATGAAGGCAAAGACCAAGGTGTAATTTAATATACAGCATTGTGTCTGAATAAACTAATGTATAGTGTATATTTATAAATAAAATTATTTACCTATAAAAAAAACCCAACAAAACAAAACAAAAAAAATGTGGGGAAATAGGCATGATGACAGAGCAGTTATGAGACAGTAATAAGTAAAATCATAAAGACAGACTGGTGGTTGAAAGACTGAGGCCAACCCAAAGAGATTCTTCAGTAGTGTACGAGGAGTCCCTCTGGGTCAACTTTTTTCTTCAGTGAGTTGGGGGAAGCATTAAAGGCATATGCTTATGTAGCAGAAAGGTGGGAGGGATAAGTATGGCGCTGGATGTAGTTCAGAAGACCCTAACTGGGCTAGAATATTTGAAAACAGCATTATGAATAAATGCAGTCTGTATAATTAGGTATACAAATAAATCATAATAGAAACAAAAATACATAAAAATGAGATAAATTTAGGATGAGGAAGATCTAGTCTGGCAGGAGCTCAGATGTTTATCAGATCACCGACAGTACAATGTCATGGTTGCTTACAGCTAATGCAATGGCAAGCTGCATTAAAGAAATGTTTAGTTCTAGGGGTGCCTGGCGGGCTCAGTCGGTTAAGCTTCTGCCTTCGGCTCAGGTCATGATCCCAGGGTCCTGGGATCAAGTCCTGAATCGGGCTCCTTGCTCAGTGGGGAGTCTGCTTCTCCCTCTCCCTCTCCCCCTGCTTGTGCTCTCTCTCTGTCAAATAAATAAATAAAATCTTAGAAAAAAAGAAATGCAGTTCTAAATAAAACTTGTTTTTAGTTCTCTTCTACTTTGTACCAGGCAGTCCACATTTGGAACACCACGACCAGGAATTCTCAGGAACAAACAAAGGAGAGCAAACAACAGGCAGGAATAATCGAAGGGATTAAAGATGCTTTCCGATGAAGAGAAAGCCTACAGATGATACGTTAGAGACCTTCACGTTCTTAAGAATTTTCAGTTTGAAGTGACAGGGTACACTTACTCTGTTCCCAGAAGCCACTTTTTTGAGGAGGGAAGGGAGTCACAAATCTCCTTGAGAATCTGCTAAAGCCACGCACCCTCCCCTCCAGGAAAAAATACACACACAAATATGCTTTTTATACTGTTTCAGGGGTTTCTAAACAGATTAAGGACCTTTAGTTTATAAGTTATAAAGACCCAGCTTTCTGTTTCGTTTAAGAAATCATTTCTCCTTCAACCTCTGAAGCAATACTCCTGGACTAGGGAAATAGAATTCTTATCCTGGGCAGAGGGGATAGGAGAAGAGTCTGGAGCTGGTGACCTGTAGTCCCTCCCAATTCTAGGATTTCCTAATCTAAAAGGAATTTTTAAAAATAATTTCACAGTATTAAGGAAAACACTGAAAACACTATTTGCTACTGTTATTCACACTGTAATTTTAAACATTAATGATACCCATTACACTCGAGGAATTGGAAACAAAGGTCATCCAGGCACCAATCCAACTTCTGAGACATATCTGAAAAAGATTTCATTCACTAGATGTACCACTACAATGGGATCAAGTATATAAATTATTTCTTGTATTACAAACAATAAAATATTTCTCTCTGCAAGTTGCCTCTTGAAAAACTTGGTCTCATGTAGGGGCATGGTAGTAGAAGTCCTACGACATTTGCAATGGAAAGTCTTGCTTTGTATTTGGTTATAAGGATTTTTCTAAGTGGCTAGTTTCTGGCATCATCACAGGACATACCTATGAGTTATCTTATTAGTAGCATTGCCTAATTTCTATATTCTGCAGTCTACGTTCTAGGCAACTCATTGCTGTCTAAACCTAAAGAGCTTTTTTACACATTAGCTGAAGGGGGGGATAAGGGGTACATCTAATTTTAATTCTACCCTTAAAGGGAAGTACGCAAATCAAAGTACTTGAGAGTGATGATTATTTCTTTAAAAGTCAGATTCTCAGAAATCTTAGGTAAGAAAACTTTCTATTATTCTCTGGAGAAATATGTCCTGGACTTTGCTCACATTACTTCTATTTAAATTCTTACCACTAAGTTCTGTTAATAATCTTGAAAGACACACAATCCTGAATAATTACAGATACATTATATGCAAAATTATATGTATTTCCTACCTACAAGCATATAAAACTATACTGAGGTATTATAAACGCTTGTTGCTAACACACAATGTTGCTTCTTGAAATAATTTTCATAATAAGTCAGTGTCCAAAAGGGCTGAGATCCTCAAAGAGAAGGTGTGTGTGTGTGTGTTAGTAATTTGTTTATGGAACTCCAGTGATAGACATACTCCTTTAAAAATCCCAACTCCATAATGGTTATTTTTCTACTGGGGCAAGTTATTATTGCATCCCTTCATTTCTCAGCTTTTTCCCAATTTCCATTGCTTTAATTTCCCATTCAAATCGATTTCTTAGAATTGAAAAAAATACATCAGTGGTAGACTTTAAGTGATACAGAGGGCTCATTTCTTTTCTAGTTCAAGTAATAGCCTTCCAGAAAAAAATATTAATGACACTGGACCTATTTTCTATAGAAAGGATTGTCAAATTCCATCAAAATTGGTCATATTATTTCCTTAGCTCTTAACAAAATAAAAGACATCCAGACATTAAGAGGCCATAGGGAATTTCAGGGGTTAATTTCAGGTTATACTTTCCATCTGTTTTAGCTATAAATACAGCTGATGAGGAGAATTACATAGGACATGGTACCCAAACTTCAATGTGGAGCAGAACCACCAGGAAGGCTTATCAAAACACAGACTGCCAGGACCCAACTCCAGTGTTTGTGATTCAGGAGGTCTGGTGGGGAGGGCCCAGGAAGTTGCACTGCTAACAAGTTCCTTGGTGATGCTGTTGCTACCAGTCTAGGGGCAAGGCTTTTGTACACCCCTGGTACAGGAGGGATCCCTGACATATAACCGGTTGCAACACCATGTTTCCTTTATTTATTCAAACTTTCATGGTTAAGGGTTTCTGATTCATACTCTAGACTGGACCCCAAAATAGTGGACGGCTTTCTGTGGTCTCAGGACCTCTGTCAGGCACATCCTTCTCTAACTACCCTACAGAAAAGATTAGTAAAGAGTACAGTATTTCTGGAAGAAGAAATCAAAGCCATTTCTTGAGTGTCTCCCCCACTTTCTTTAAACCTCTTACTAAATATTTGGAATGAAATTCAAAAGCAAAATAGCTCGTAAAGCTTATCCGGAATGGGTGACTCTATTGGAAAGAAGACTGGCATACTCACCAGAGAGGAAATATACCCAGTCGTGTGGTGATAAAAACCATGGCAAACATAACAAACAGAAGATCACAAATTTTCTGAAACTTGGCATAATTTGCCATTTTGGCAGCCTATAAAAGGAAGGAATGTGATATATTAATTTAGTTAAACTGGTAAATGAAAAACTTCTTTCAAAATGCATGTGTCTCCTATAAGATATAACTTACCAGATGCATAAAACTGCCTGCTACTTTGAAATGTCATGCATCATGCATCAGTATTTATAAATTACCCATAAGTTGAGTGAAATGCAACACTAGCTATAAGCAAAACTACGGACTGTCACAGATTTAATAAAACATTCAGCAACCTGAAAAATTCAATTATATGGTTGATCTCAGGAAAACAAAAATAAGAAAATTCCTGCATTATAGATGATATTAGCAAGGCAAAGACACCAACACAGGAATTTGGCATAACAGCCCAAAGTAGAAAGTGCTAGGTAATCCTTTAAAACTCTAATGAGCCCCAAACACTAAGGCCACAAACTTCATACAGATTATATGAAGCCTTTCTGCATTGTTTTCTTCTTTCTACTTAGAATGAAAGGTTCTCCTTAAATAGGCATTAAGGAATATTCTGGAGAGACAGTTTCTTGGCTTATTCTCATAAATTTAGAAATAAAGAACACATCAAGATCATGTTATTTCAATGAATCCATTTAGGTACAATTTTCAAAGTTACATTAATGGATCATTTTCTAGATGAAAGTCACTAATGTTCCAAGTGTCTGTAAGAATTACTCTAATAATTCATGATAGTAATTTAAGTGACCATTTTTTATATTATAAATTAGGGAAGAGATTACCTCCCTTTTCCTACCATCTACACACTTTTTAACAGATGATTCTAAAGTAACAATAGGTGACACTGAAAAGATAATTTTGCTTGATCACCTCTTTTTACATTTTCACATAGAATTCACATGCACCCACACACAGGGTTATAAACTGAAGATGTCTTGCTGAATTCATAACATTACTTTCTACTTCTCAGAAAGTTAAATTAGCTGAGTCAAACCTGAAAGGACTGTTGACAGTATCCATAGAAGCTACCATTTTGTAGCTTTAAGTAAAACACAGAGCGATGAGAGAAATGGATTACTAAGAAAAAATATCCATTAACTGAACAGAAACCAGGATTATGAACTTTTCATTTCATGAATACTTTGGGTGTGACATCACGAATTATTAGTAAGAAAGAAAAAAAGCATCTTCTGCCTCCTTCTGCCTAGGTAAACCATTTTTCTCTTATATTCATTCAACAGTATTCAATAGAAAAGTATCAAACATGCAATTTTTCTGAAATGTCTAGGTCATAGATCCCACTTCAAAGAGTTGATAGTTGACATATCTCATTATTTAGATATTCTCAAGCATTATTGTATAATGTAAAGAAAATCCATGTGATGGGGAATATTTGCTTTTAAGCCACATGACTGGCATTTCTGGATTGTTTTTCTTTTCTGGGTAAAAGTGATAGACAACGATTCAACCAGCCATTTCCACAGACATTAAAGTTGGCAGATTGTACAAGATTAATTTGGAAACTATATATTGCTGTATAAATCTCCACTTTCAAGCATACTTAGGATTTGACCAAATGATACCTGGTTTACAGGAGACTGCCCTTATACAACTATATTTCTCTTTTTAAAAATATGCTAAACAGAGTTTAGCTTGAGTCACTTAAAAATTATAGTGCCACACTATCATCTGACATATCTAGCCCATTAGGACTGTTTTTCTATTTCATAGTCTTATAAGGAACAGAGTTTTTAATGAAGTGCTGTATATATTACAAATCTTGATTAATCATCTTTATAGCAGATTCAATTTTATCATGTGGAATTTCTGCTTATACTGTAATAATAGATCATTATTTGAGAGCACCTCTATATTCAAAGTGACAGTATATACTTCAAGGGGCAGAACTGTGTGGACCAACAAGAATAAAAACTCAGAATACAGATTCTGTGACCCATTTCTACATGAAATTTGTACTCTGGTAAGTTTATCTTTCACCAGTCACATAAATTTCTTAACATAAAGTAAAAAGTCTTTTATTCAATTATATAACACTATTGGGTGTGTCTCTTCATAGGGGCCATAAGTAAGAGTAAATACCACATCAAAATATTCCTTGGGATTTTATCTTTTGAAATATGCTTGAAGCATTTTTCTTTTTCTTCCTTTCTTTTGCTACTTTAATAATCCTAAATGATAATGGTTTAGAAAGTTTATCAAAATACAACCAATATTTCCTCAAATACTCTTTATACTTATACATGTAGAGAACATAGTTTTTATATTTAATTTACAATTCATATATACTTTTCACTGTAAAAATACTAGGATAATACATCTATTGGCAATAAAAACTATGATTACTAATTAATGTCATCAGGATGTACAACTATTAATAACTAAATTAAGTTGTATGTACTTCACAGATAGATCAGTGTGAAACTTGTAACACCAGAAACAAAACCTTTTCAAGTAATGATTTTCCAATTGTAAAACATTCATTTCTTAAGTGTGGGATAGTAAAGGTTTTCATTATTCTACTAATAAAGAATGCTAAGATGATGAACATGCTTTGTATAAAAATGTATGGACTAAAGTCTCACTTTTACCAATTTAACTTACAAAGAAACACTTTGCAGTTTAAAATCAGTCATATACTCTCATATATCAATCATATACTATCTTCCCCCAGTGCGATATAGAATAACATAGAAGAGCTGATGGTCTTGGGGATTTCCTGAATTCTAGATTTCAAACTCTTAAAGATGAAAGGAAACTTTTACCTCTAGAAGAGCATCAGCTGAATCATGAAGACAGAGGACCAGGGTCCCAACTCGGGCCATATTGTTGACATATGAAAAGGAAATCAAGAAAATAGCTACAAGGTGATGCAGGAACATAATGCCAAAGTCCTTGAGGAAGGAAAAACACAGCCATGTTAGGTCTTAGAGGACAGCAATGTTTCCATTCATCTCTTCCATTATTCAACAAATACTTCCCAAGGTTCTTAATGGACCTAGCACTGGGGATACTAAAATGAGTAAGATGTATTTCCTACCCTCTGGGAGCTCACTACAGAGGGGCAGAGGCATAAAGGGGACCGGTAACTACGGAGAATGTGATAAATGCCAGGACTAAGGCCAGATCATAAAGGGTGTTTTGTACGTAAACCAAAGAATTTGAAGCTATGGGAGAAATCGCCTCAGAATTTCAAGCAAAGAAAGGCATTACTCGGATCTCTACTTTAGGAAAATCCTTGGGGCAGCGGCGCAGGTCCAATGGGACCACTTCTCGACTACCGTGGCTGGGGATCCTGCATCCTTCCCCTAGAATATGTCCACTGGGATGGTAAAATAAGACTCCTAATATGCGGCTTTCTGATGAATCCTACACAAACAAGCCCTAAATCTTAAACCTTACTTGTCCATAGTCATTAGAAAAAGAAACTGGCGAAAGTAATGATAAATTGGCCACCTTTATTTCGGTCAATTTCAATGGAGCTGCTGGTCGGCCCATGTGAAAAGATCATCTTTCTCTGACACTGATTTATCTCCTGGCCATCTGGACATGGTTTGTTGTGATGCAGAATTTCTGTTGCTTGGATACACAGTCTCTCATTTACTAATATTTTTACCCTCATTTATTTTTTAAGATTTATTTATTTACTTGAGAGTGTGCATGCACGAGTGGGGGGAGGGGCAGAGGGAAAGAGAATCTCAAGCAGACTCCCCACTGAGCTCAGAGCCCAACACAGGGCTTGATCTCATGACCCTGAGACCATGACCTGAGCCAAAATCAAGAGTTGGATGCTTAAACAACTGAGCCACCCAGGTGCCCTTTGCTCTTATTTATAAATCTATTTCTTCCAGAGTACATTTGAACTTCTCTGGACTTAAATGCCAAGATTAGCCCTAGTGGTGATCTACTTGAAACCTTAGAAAAATAAAGCTATTCATGTAAAGATAAATAAATTAGCCAAAATGAAAAGCATATTATGAAGCTGAGAAAGAGAGAGAGAAAGAGAGCAAGTATGTGCATATGCTCTTTATTCAGTAGCTATTGATGTCATATAGTTTTGGATTTGAAAGGTCAACTTCAGTGACTTTTAAATGGTTTAAAACAGTTAAGCAATGGCCTTTGTTTAGATCCTGAAAGCAGCTTATCCATAAGTAATGAAATATTGCTATTAGGTCCTTTGCCATTTATTTCATTGTATAGTTCCCATATTGAAAAAATTTTCAATTATTTGGTTTTATTTTTTAATTTTTAAAAGGATTTTATTTATTTGAGAGAGAGAGAGAGTGAGAGAGAGTACAAGCAGGGAGGAGAGAGAGAAGCAGGCTCCCCACTGAGCAGGGAGCCTGACGTGGGTCTCGATCCCAGGACCCTGAGACCACGACCCAAGCCGAAGGCAGTTGCCTAACCAACTGATCCACCCAGGTGCCCCAATTATTTGGTTTTAATTTATATAACATGAACCTACCAAGTTATGGATATTTCTACTGTTTAAATTCCTGTGATACAGAACTCTTAAAAATGTCTTTTTATGTTTTATAAAATTAAGCTTTAAATGGCAATGATGAAATAAAGTTAAATTTGTATGTTTTAAAAAAAATCTCACAATGTTTCAGTGGTTCTGTATATACATGACTATATCCAGGGGTTACTTTTCTGCCTTGGAAAGTGCCAAACATTTACTGATAACCATACATATCGATTTATTACTAGGATAAACAATGCATTAGTATCCTAAATAAGGTCAATTTATAGTGTTTTTTTTCATTTTTTTATTAACATGTATTATTTGTTTCAGGGGTACAGGACTGTGATTCATAAGTCTTACACAATTCACAGCACTCACCATAGCACATACCCTCCCCAATGTCTATCACTCAGCCACCCCATCCCTCCCATCCCCCACCACTCCAGCAACCCTCAGCTTGTTTCCTGAGATTAAGAGTCTCTTACAGTTTGTCTCCCTCTCCGGTTTCGTCTTGTTTCATTTTTCCCCTCCTTTCCCCTATGATCCTCTGTCTTGTTTCTCAAATTCCTCATATCAGTGAGATCATATGATACTTGTCTTTCTCTGACTGAAGGTCGACAATTTAAAAAATGAATTGCAACTATTTCTCTTCTTTTCAGCTAACCTAGTCTCCAAATTCACCATGTTCTATTGATGGTGGATACCACTGTTGGAAAAATCATCTGTCTTCTATCAGTCAATTCCAACTACCCACAGAACTATAGAACCAAATCTTGCAAACTGTTGGCCTACAACTATGGTCCTTCCTTCAGAACCACATTCACCGCCCAGTTTTCAGCTCACTGGCAGAGAGAAATAATGATCATGCTATTGAATGAGTCTCATGAGTGATTATGTACAGACTCAACTTACCAGTTTTACCTACTTCTGATTTTCTGATGTTCTTGTGGTGTCTAGGATTTTCCTAAATCATTAAAGTTGGACAATACCAAAATTCCTTAGGTATACAATGAAAATTACTCTGATAATGTTTTCTACTGGAAGGTGAAATCTCTTCTCTCCAGGCTCTTATCAAAAATTTATTAGATTCCAGTACCAGGAGCATCATGTTCTACCAAACAAGAACTATTTCAAAACAATGCCATCAAGTGAAACTAACCTATCAAACAATACTTTAAACTGTTTCCTAAACATAAGTAAATGAAAACATACAGCACTTAATCCAATAGTTCAGTGAGTTTATATTTGCCCATGCTCAATATGCATATTTAAAATCTAACCTGTTGAGTACCTAACCAGAACATTTCCCACGTTTCCTATTGTTCAGCCCGGAATGACTGCTCTGGATTTACCGAAAGAAAACAAGAGTTTTTCTCTATTTAGTTTAAAAATGAATAAATATAAATTGATTAAAACACTTATGGATGATTAGGACCATTTTATAATTAAGTTTCCTAATTCGTATCTGATATAAATGTCAATAAACAACACAAAGCTCTTAGCAATATAACAAGCATCCCTTAAATATGAGAGCCTTGTTTTTGAGACAAAGTTTGCTTTGTGAGATGATTCCTGAATATAAATCCCCTGGTCCTGGAAAATATTTATTACTGAGAGACTCAGAGTTATGCCCATGGCAGAAGACCAATTTTCATTATACAGTCATTATCTGTATGAATATGAAAAAAGCATGAATAATGAATTTTGTCTTTTACGTTTCTGCTTCAGAAAGCATTATACCCAACAAAATACCTTCAATAAAAGCCAGGCAATCATTAATGTGTTACCTCTCCTTACCTTGATCCCTTTCTTTAACTAGGCACTGAATTTGGTCTAAATAACAGTTTTCAAATAAATTGTCAACTTGGACCTTATCAATGCAGGGTAAGAACTCCCATCCTCAGGTTTGTTATTGTTGAAAAATGACTGGTGTGTAGGTAAACACAGGCCTGGCCACAGGAACCTTAGCATCTTAGGTTGAGAATGTTTTCTTGCATTTTTGGTAGCAGCAATTAGGGAGAAAGACTGTGATTTCTTCTTGGCACTCACACTGAGGACTGATTCCAAAGACCTTATTCAAAACAGACCAGTCTGGCCACCTGTTTCACTGGTGTTCCCTGCCTCCTGCTGTTCTGCCATATTGTTTCTGGACATCTTCTCAGCCAACATCAAGGGTTCCTTCTATGTTTGCTGCCTTAATATGGACTCTGACCTCAGCCCCCATTCCTGTGGCTGTTCCTATGTTAATTATCAGAGATGGAAAAAAAAAATCAGATGTAGTCTTAACTCCACGTCATTTAGAATGAGTCTACAATGAAAGAATTCAAGGAAGAGCCATCCATTTTTAATACCAGAAACTGGTAAGATAATGCTGTCTTTTTTCCTCATTACATATTGAATGGCATTTAGAAAACCAGAATAGCCTCTTAGTCTGTTCTGTGTAGCTTCCACAACAGAATTCCTTGGATACATGTAAAATTCCAGCTACTTGGGCTCCATCGCCAACTGTTGGAATGAGAAATGGCATCCTTACTTCAGTTCTCCAGGGGAATTTCTTGAAAAATAAAATATTAGTGGTGAAAGGCCAGAAGGATCACCCTCATTGAAACATAAGTCTGGTGTTCTGTATGATGGAACGCCCTTTGCAATGACTGGGATGCAAAGACTCTTCAAAATAATGCTCTGTCTCCAGGAAGCACCAAATTCATTCATCTTGATGTACAAGTTTTTATGAAAGCAAAATTAACTCATTTCTCATTATGGGGGAAAAAAAACCCAACACAAACAAAAAGAAACTTGTTCTCTAAATTCCCATTTGCTGGAAAAAGTACTCATAATTTCATAGAGTTTCTTTTGGGAATAATCTTTGCAACAAATAAAGCAAAACAGTGGTGAACCTTCTGAAAAAAGAAATAAGACCAAGATTTTAAGTGATAGCTGATTTAAATGCACATGGATAGTGAAGAATATGAAATATTTCTAAAGTGCAAGGCAAAGAAAAGACTCTTCCTTCTCAGATGCAAATGACATGTATTAGCTTTCCTGAATTTAACAAATAAAATTAACAAATATAATAAACTTATAATAGAAAATTACCTGAATAGAAATCAGGTAATTATCACCAGGTTACACTTTTAACAGATTTTCAAATTCTCTAAGGAAACAGAAGGACAACATCCTAACTTTTCTTTTTCTTTTCTTTTTTTTGAGAGAGAGAAAGAGAATGGAGAGGGAGGGGCTGAGGGAGAGAGAGAATCTTAAGCAGGTTTCCTGCTCAGCCCTGAGCGGGACACGGGGCTTGATCTCACAACTCTGAGATCATGACCTGAGCCAAAATCAAGAGTCAGGTGCTTAACAGACTGAGCCACCCAGGCGACCCAGCAACAATGTAATTTAAAACTGATTTCATTGTATGGCAACTGCAACAAC